TTTTAGCTTTATTGCTTTTAGACTATATTATTCCATGAAACGTCTATTTTCTGTTACACACAAGTACTGTGTGCAACACCTATTAGTCACGTTTAACAGATACATGAAAAGAAATGTAAATATTGGTCACAAACAGATCACTTTTAATGATTTTCAGTTGCACGGGTATAAACATGTTTTATAAATGCTACGGAATACACAATGGTGCTTTATTCATCTATGCCACTTTGCAAGCTTAAGTTAGTGTGGATTTAATCTGATGAACTTGATTGTAATTAGTAAGGTGAGATCTTTTGGTTCAACTGAGGAAGCATTGTTGGAGACTGCTATTGTTGTAAAAAAAAATTAAAAAACTTCATTTACACAAACATTGCCAGTAGATGGAGACAAGATGTATTGTTGCAGTGTGGCCCTACAGGGCACTGTCACTTAAAATGCAAAGTGCTTTCCTTCTGCAGTCCTGTTCAGAGAAGGGCAAACTGCAGAAATGATCAAAACTGCATGCAATAATTGATGCTGCAGTACACCGTCTCTGTGGTAATAACCTAATCTGCAAGATGTATGTTAAAGATCACTTGATCTGGAAAGCATCTGTACAAATGTCTGACAGACATCTTTAAGATGTCAGTTTTAAATACATTCTAACCCTGATAGCAAGCAACCACTGAATCAATGTTAAAAATGGTTGATTTGTCAATATTAACTGCATTGAATCAACATCACTTTTGCACCCACAATTAATGTTGAAAAAATGTTGACATTTCAACAAACCACCTGTGATCAGCGTCTGCTTTAGTTGGGATCTTGACTCTTTGTACTTTAATGTTAGGTTTTTATTGTCACTTGTAACAATGTGCTAAAATATATTTGTTGAGGCAATGAAAACTAAGATCCACTGGGATCAGGTGATGGTGATCATGAATGTAAACATTGCGAGGTTATTTAAATAACTGCTCACAAGCGTGTTGTGTTTTTATGTGTGAATAATGTGTGATGCTACAGTCTGAGATTAAAGCAGTGGTACGGCTATCATACTTCTATGAATGAATAGAACATACAAAAAAAAACTCATTAAATTGCTGAATCAATTAGACATCAAGAATCAGCGTATGAAACTCAACAATGGTGACAATCAACAAAAGAAAATTTTATGCTGAAATGCATGGGTATCAACATATACAGCACTCATTCATGACTCCCAGCATGCATTGCAGTTGATCTGTTTATCTGAATTAGTTTGATGATTGTCACCATTGTTGACGTTTGTATGAGTGTTGATGTTTAAATCTTTATGTATATTTTGCCACAGTATCTTTGCATTTGTGAAACAGAACATTGCAGCAGCCAGAGACTCACCGCGCCTTCAAAAAAATCCAACTGAAGTGCATAGACCAAAAAAGGTTACCCAAAGATGAAGAGCTTGAAAAGAGTCCGCACATTCAAACATTAAAGCAACACAAGCAAGATGAGAACAATATATGCAATTTACTGAATAAAACAGGGCAAACGTTTCGGTCACATGTTGATCATTTTCAATGCCAAGCTAACAGTGTTAGAACTAGAAGCCATCTTAATTTAAGGAATCACATGATAATTAAAGAGATCACATGATCAATCAGGACACAGAGAAAAAAAAACAATGTGTGTATATGTAGAGCAATGGATAATTTACAATATTTACTGAAATAGAACATTTACATCAATAATGAAAGATCAACTTCAACACTTTTTATTATTTCTTTATTATAGCTTGACACCCATCACAAAAAGTAATCTACTCCAACTTAACTTCAAACCATCTCTTTCTTTATTAATGCATGTGTTTATATTGAAACACTATTGTAAGCACTGAAAGAGAATTAACTTAATGAAAAGCAAGAGTCAAGAGCCCAACTAAAGCAAACACTGATCACAATAATGGTGCTTTGTTGAAATTTCAACATTTTTTCAACATTAATTGCGGGTGCAAAAGTGATAATAATTTAATGTCATTAACATTGACAAATCAACTTTTTTAACATTGATTGAATGGTTTTCACCTGCTCTTTTGCTATCTGGGAAATAGACGTCTTTTCACCTTTCACTTTTCAACCAAATTTTAACGTTGTTTAGACGTCTGGCATTTACGTCTTTTCGACGTCTTTTCAACGAGTTTTTGCTGAGTGGGAAACATCTAATAAACGTCTATTTGACATCTGATAGGAAACGTCCTAGACCTATTGCAGATGAGAAAAACACTAAAAGATACATCTAGCAGATGTAAATGCAGACGTCAAATATATGTCTCCGTGATGAACATATTGTAACGGCCACCTAATGTTGAACGTTATTCATGTTAATGCCCCTTTAAACGTTTTGCTGTAAGTTTCCTCTCTGGTAGACGTTTCAATTTAATATATAGACGTTCATCAGAATAGTATGGCCAACACAGAAGGTACCAAATTGCGTTTTATGTTAAAATACTTTAATCCTATAAAACTAAAAATAAAAAAAGTAATTTACTCACTATCATGTTGTTCCGGACCGTATGACTTTTTTCCCCGAAGAACATAAAAATGCTTTTGGTCGAATTCAATAGCCTACATCGTGACTCACTTTAATGCTCATAAAGCACACATGAATGTCAGCAAACAGTCCACGTGGATCGCGGTTCGATTTCTAAGTGCTCTGGTAAGTGAAAAACCAACACAATATTTACGCTTTTTTTATTTTGTATTTTTTTTATCGCAGCTGCCCTCTTGCTCGCCATCCAGTTAAAGTCCAGTAGTTGGCGGAAATGCACCTTTTACCGCCATTAATGGTAGAAAAAGACAATTGTATATTTCAAATTGTTTTGATCGTTCTGTATATGATGGTAATGATAGTAAGATGAATATAGCCTACCATTCATCCTTTTTAAATGAACAAACAAACAATAAATGCCAGACAGTCACTGATAATTCTCTGGCTGAGCCTTACAGCTGATAAAGGTGTGAGCTGGAATATAAACTCAGTCAAGCTGGTTTAATTAAGTCTTTCTGCAGTCAACAAAGACCTCTGTGTCAATGTCCTCCAGAGTCAGTACTGTCTGATTCTGACGTTTTCAAGACAGGCTTGTCTTAACTTTTGTATGGCTGAATTTCACCAAGCTATACAAACCTTGAATGTCCTTTCAGAGACACAAATGACTTTCAACATGCAGTGTGATGTTTTTTATAGGATGTTTGATACAGTAGCCTATATGGCTCAAAAGACACTCAAGCTTCTGTTTAAGTTAATCATGTCAGGTTAATGTTTTGTTTTATTTTCATGTGGGACAGATATACAGAAATGTTGATGGACACATGACAATATTCAAGTTACTTTAGAATACTACTGTAAGCAAACACAAAGGGAACCAGATAGCACACATAAGGTGTCTGTTCAAGATTATTGATCTGGAAAGCATCTGCTTTGTACAAACATCTGACAGATGTCTTTAAGATGTAAGTTTTACATATACATTCTAAATCATAAACATCTTAAAGACTCTAATAAATGACTATTTGACATCTGATGATAGGAAACAACCTATAGACGTATTGCAGATGAGCAAACATTAAAAAAAAATATGTCTTGCAGATGTAAATGCAGACGTCAAATAGACGTCTCCGTGATGTAAGTGTGCTATCAGGGGAAGGCAGTGCTATTCTAACAAGCCCTCTACACTCCGTAATCAAATAAATCTGGTAGTACTTTCAAGTATATGTATTTTAACCTTGAAATGTATCTATACAACCTTTGTCCTGTCTGGTTAGGCATTAAACATCTCTCCAAAACTAAATGAGGTATAAGGTCACAACAACACAACTAGTCACCAAACAATACAATCTCATCTCTTTCATCATAAAGATTGTTGTAGTAAAATCATAAACTCTGTGACCATATGAGTTAATAAGTCAATGTACAAAAGTTGTACTTTGCTGCTTAGACAATTTTCACAAAGTATATACATTTAAAGGGGTCATATGATGCGATTTCAATTTTTCCTTGAAAGATGAAGCTCGCGATTATGGTAAGGGGCGTTACATTTCCGACGAGTGCTTGCGGTGTTCGGCCAATCACAATGCACTGGGTCAGCTGGCCAATCAGAGCAGCCTGCACTTGTCAAAGGAGGGGGCTTTGTAGAAAACGAAGCGTTTGAGAGAGGCGGGGCATAGAGGACCTACAATAAATGTACAGTATTTGAAAAATAATGTGTTTTTTGAACATTAAAGCATGTCAACATATTCTGTTACACCAAATACACAAAATAATGATCTTTAAAAAAGCATCATATGACCCCTTTAAAGTGTGGCCCATATGTGCTCAGCCATGACATACCTAGGCCAAATGTGACAGCTATCAGCCACATTTGGCCCAAACGCTCTTGCTATCTTGGTATGTACAGAGTTACTCATACTGGAGTTTGTGCTACAAGGTCTCTTCATGACACGTCAACTACATAGGCCTTCATTAAAACAGATTTGTTTGATGTTGATGCAATATAAACTGCATTGTTCTCAATGGTTTTCCTTTTCCTGTTTGTTCACCCATAACAAAATCATGTTACAATATTATTCTTTAGAACAGCAATTACCTTGAAAAAGGAGACTAGTTTAAAGCTCTTGAACAGGGGTGCGTTTCCCAAAAGCAACTATGGTCACAACTTAAGTTCCGTCGTTACCAATAGAGTTCAATGGAACAAACCACCATAGTTAGCTAACGATGCTTTTGGGAAACGCACCCCAGATTAGTTAAAATATATGCTATTGTTATGATAACCCACGTTTCAGAACATATCTAATAATGTGAAAATCAGATATTCTGTATTTCCTAAACCATTTATTCTCAACCAGGAGGCCAAAACATGATTTAAAATAAGACAAAACAACTAAAAATCTCTATATTTCTTAGTTTAATTCACCTCAGCAACTGTTTCATTTTTTTTAGAACTAATTTTTTTAGAGGGCTTGAAAAAAATATATGTGAGGTAGTCTGATTTTAAAAGTGTGATTTCTAGACCTAGAAATGTCATGTTAATTAATGTATGATGAATACACATCTGTATAGTTTTTAACGCTTTTAAAATGCAGAAATTGCGAGGAAAAAATATTAAGAATCGTTATTCTTAATAATTATCAGTAAATCATGAACAGCTTTAAAAGTCATGGGACCTTTCAATATTATTGAGAATGTGGACAACGAGGGGCTTTGGACTCAAAAAGGTTAAGAACCACTGTCGTGTGCAGGTGAGATATAAAGGAGTCTTGGAGCTATGGCTCAACCACTAATACTCCCAAGTTGTTGTTGAATATGATCCTTCCATCCACCTCTTTGCTGCAGTCAGGATGTCTCAGTAAGTTCAGCACTCCTTTCTTCAGGTCTTCAGGAGCATTCTTACTGAACTCTATGACCTCGGTAAGGAAATCCAGCAGCAGTTCTCCCACCTGGTCTCCCTCAGTGAAGCACTCTGTGATGTCCATCTGGGACAGAAGCTCATAGTTCTGGTAGGGGATGCTCTCAGTATCTAGGAAGGTCTTTATATCTCCTGTAGTAACACACTGGCTGATCTCAGTATTACAGAGTTGTTCTCTAAAGGTTGTCCATAATTTTCCCCATCCACTCTCACCTACAGTAAGTAGAAGCAGAACGGAGATAATTTTTACATTAAACAGAACAGAAACTTTTTTTTTTCTTCAAATTTTGAACCCACTGTACTGCCCTACAAATGTGAAACGCTTAATGAAAATTAGAAAAAAAACAAACAATCTTTTTTTTGACCGATTTTACACTCCATTTCTCTGAGCCTGAGCATAGTTGAGCTAAACCTGTTAGACAAGGTCCACTTAAGCAAAAGGTGTAGTTACTTAAAAGGTACATAATTTAGGTTATGCACTTTGGCGAAGTTTTGAACTTGAACAGCATTTACTATACCTGACACCAGAATGATTAAGAGTTTCCCATCTTTGTGTAGAAGACTCCGAAAAAATGAGACAGTGGCCTCTGGATCTTTGATGTAGTACAGCATCTGTTAAACAGACTGATATTAATATTCTGCAAACACAACAAAAAATGTTTGATATTATACAGACCTCAGTAATATCACTTTGACTAATATCAATTTAAGTTGATGAAATGAATGAAAATGTCACATGAAATTAAAATGAATCTTTATTCAAATTAATCTTTTCTCTAAATGCGTGTTAGTCTGAACTTATTGTGAACAATTCATCCATGCATATGTTTAATTTTTTGTGGCCTAGTAATTCTAAATTAAAGTGGCATAACTCAAATCTCCATAAAAGAGTAGGCTTCTCTCTGTTGATGTATGCCAGACTTGTTCAATCATTTAGTCTACTTAGGACCCATCCCTTTCTTACAATCAGCTGCATTTAGATCTGCCTCCATCCAATCAACAACCAATTAACAGAATCATGAATTTCTTTTTTGATAATCCAATTCACCTGAAAGTAGGTCAGAAAAGGAAGTAAAGATCTGTCGCTACTTCCGTTATGTCACAACTTTAAAACAATAATTTGTTGGTAGCTCAAAACCTGTATCATGTGAATGAAGTCCATCTTTTTCCCAGGGTTTTTCTCTTGCCAATGTTTTTCAAATTCAGATGCCGTCATCTTTTTCCATGTAAAGTATATATAATCAAGATCTGGAGTTGTTGACACTTGAACTAAACAGATAGAGAACAGCATAAAAAGCCATTCATTGGTAGAATTAGTAAAATCATATATGGTTGGCTTATATGAGCATCAATAAATTGACTGGTACCTTTATATTTGTGCAGCATGTCATTGCTTGGTTCCACCACTTCATTGTTGACTTTGGCATGTGGATGTTTCAGGTGTAGCTGAGCTAGCATCTCTAGATCAATCTCACCTGGAAATTAGATGAATATGGAGAAGTGAGAACTCTGTTAGGTATTAAAATCTGATATACTGTATGAAATGATGATATAAACTGAATCTTAATAATTCAGTCTCTATGAAAAGTGTACCTGCTCCACTCCCTACTCCCATTACATTGAAAAAGGATCTCCCCCCTCCAATGCTGCAGAGAGAGAACATAATAAAGGCAAGATAATATTTTAATATCTTGTCATTGTTAAATCTGCTGGCACATTCTGTATTACAAATCTAGGACAGGCTAAATTAATAAAATATGACATTCATCAAGAACGATAAAGCACCTTGCCAGTATGTCTGGTAGCATATTATGAATGAAGTCCTGCATGCACTGGTGCTCTGATGAGCGCTTCAGAAAAAGCTCAAAAGATTTGAGGTATCTTGGATAATCTTCCACAAGTGATCTGAATGGAGCTGCCATGGTTTTCACCTGCTGAAACTGGTGCTTTAGAATAATAAAAATGAGTTATGAATTCACCCAAAATGAAACAAAGAAATAAATAAGATATTTTGAGAAATGTCTCAGTGTTATTTATTTATTTATTATTATTTTTTTCTTAGTCCATGTAATGGAAGTCAATGGTCACCAAAACTGTTTGGTTACCAACATCAAAATATCATCTTTTATTTCCCACAGAATAAATAAAGTCATACAGGTTTAGAATGACATGAGGGTGAGTAAATGATGACAGTTTTTTTTCTTTTTGGTGATCTGTCTCTTTAAGATGGTACCTACAAGTAGGACATGTTCCTTTGCTGGAAGAACATTTCCTATTAACCAATCACCAAATTGATTTTAGGGGCGGATTTTGAAGAACAGTTTAATTAAACAATCACTGTCGTTGGGTTAGGGCCGTGGGCACAATCTTTTTGCTATTTGCGGTCACAGCAACAGGTGTAATTTAACACAGTCTGAAATGATTAAACAAAAGAAGACATATAAACTAATAAAAAAAACAAGAAGAAATTCATAGTAATTCAATCAAAATTATTATGCTTATAATATAATTTGCAACGAAACCTTCATATTCTCAACTCGATGATACGAATAAAAAAAAGCTATTCAGTAAAACGTATTGCATTTATGAATGACGACTTATATTCACTAGTTAAGTGTCAAACAGTCATCCCAGCAGTATGACGTTCTGTGTTACATTCAGATGATAAGATCATATTCATCAACAGGTTCAATGAGAGCCTGACACACCGATTCGCTCCTATTTGTAGAATGGTATCATTATTTCTAACTCTGGGTGTGCGCCGCCGCCTCTTATACATCAGCGCTCTAATAACTAGACGGAGAAAGCAGAAGTGTGCCGCAGCTTACCTTCACTTCTCTCCGTTTTCACACTGCCAGTGAGACGCTGGGTCGCCGCACAGCCACACAGAGATGAGCCCCGCCCACATCCTTAAAGACGCAGTGCTACACAAGGCAAGGCAATCAACCAGGAGGACCGTTTAGAATAGATGCTCCTAGAATTTCTACTTACAGGAGACGTCCTCAAATATAACAAAATATATTTAGTGAAAAATCATGGCTCTCCACTACTTAAAATTACATTTTTAGAATCAGGCGGTTCACCGGCACAAATATTTATCTTATTAGTAGCCTAAACACATTTACAAATATATATGTTTTTCATACATTTATTAATTTAGACTGTATCACATGCCACTAAGTCATCAACGTGTCACTAGACCAGGGGTGTCCAAACTCAGTCCTGGAGGGCCGATGTCCTGTAGAGTTTTGCTCCAACTTGCCTCAACACACCTGCCTGGAAGTTATAGTATGCCTAGTAAGACCTTGATTAGCTGGTTCAGGTGTGTTTGATTAGGGTTGGAGCTAAACTCTGCAGGACACCGGCCCTCCAGGACCGAGTTTGGGCACCCCTGCACTAGACAGGAACAGAAAATAACTAAAATAAGACAACGTGCTCAGCTCATTGCTGCCCTCATGTGTTCATTTTACTTCTCACCTCACACTCATGTAAGTGAAATTACAGCACACTATGATTTCCCTTAAAACATAACACAAAACACTCAACTTACGTTCAATTCATGTTAAACCCTAGGCCACATAATGACAAGCAGGCCAGTATTAAATAACCCATGCCTGAGAACACGTACGGCTTTGAGATAATATTAAATAACATGACAAATAGCCTATAGCTTATATACAATACAAATACTTTTTTTTGCTTGTTTGCTTGTGTATTCATTCATTCATTTTATCCTTGTTAATGAACTTGTCTGGCAACAGTTCAGACAAACATTGACATTAAAGACAACTGAGCACCACTCTGGCATAAAAGATTGAGAATAGGCATGTATTCATTAAAATTCATCTTACAGAAACATAATAGTGTAATAAACTAAATGTCCCACAAAGCGTCCTTTGTGAATAATAATATGTATAGTTTTTTTTTTTTTTTTGATAGTTACATAAGATCAATTTAAAGTTTAAATCAGCACTGATTGAAATGTGAGACACTAGTCTGGGCCTCATCAGTTTGATCCAAATATAAAAGAAAAGAGAACAAGACACAAACTCCGTGATCATTCTTTAATCTGTCTTTTGCCATTTTCTGTATTACAAGAAACAGTTAAAGCAATTTTCCCATTTCTTTTCTCAGTCAGTTTGATCATGTCAAACTTTGTTAAACAGATTTGGCTCCTGGTGAATAGAAATTCATGATTAAAGTGAGAGAACCCACAAAGATTCATGGGAAATGTTCTGCAGAATTATTAAGGCTTAATGGAAAAATTAAGCCTGACAGAATCACACCACCCAGACACGTGTCCCCTAGGTGGCACTGACAAGTCTGGTTAAATTCATCTCATCCTTGAGCAGAAATGGCAGGCTTTACTAATAAAATCTGATTAAACAAAATATTTAAACGATCCAACATCCTGAAGTGGAAGGATCTGATGGATTGCACATTATTAAAGGCATTCAGTGCTGTGACCATGGCCAGACAACAGAACATTTAACACAATTCAATTCACTCCAGATACTCTTACTTCACTGTCTTACATATCCATTCACACAATAACAGGACTGTTTGTGTTATAATATCCACTTTGTTTCATCTGTTTCTGTTTCTATTTTCCATCTTTCATCTAAGTTTCCATCTTGCTCCATCTGCTGGTTTATGAAGGGTATTAAAAATGGAATATGGACTGAGTCCAGCCTCTATAAATGAGCATGAATAGTTTCATAAGGACAGTCTTATTAAAGGAGTAGTTCACCCAAATATGAAAATTAGCTGAAAAATTTCTCTCCCTCAGGTCATCCAAGATGTAGATGATTTTGTTCGTTCATCCTCACCAACGGATCCTCTGCAGTGAATGGGTGCCGTCAGAATGAGAGTCCAAACAGCTGATAAAAACATCACAATAATCCACAAGCAATCCACATGACTCCAGTCAATCAATTAACATAGTTTATAATACATCCATCAAGTCATTTTTTTTAAATACTTTAAACCGTTGCTTTCAAATAAAATCTGTGGCCACTTATTCTGACGGCACCCATTCACTGCAGAGGATCCATTGTTGAGCAAGGGATGTAATGCTACATTTCTCCTAATCTGTTCCAGTGAAAAAACAAACTTATAGTGAGGAAATTTTCAGCGAATTTTCATTTTCACATGAACTATTCCTTTAAAATGTGCTCCCAGTTAACGTATTAGGTATGATTTAAAAGACCCAAAAAAAAAAAAATTGACAGCTATGAACTTATGGTATAAAGGCATAACATTTACCTCATTTCCGTCCAAATAGCTGAAATCACCATCCATCTTTGATGCAGATTAACATGATTAACGAGAAACATCATTTCCCACAGAGTATCACAATTTATTAGCATTTTCGTTCAACTCTTCAAGTACGCACAATTAAAACAGAAAGTACTATGTAAACTAAAGGTCAGTGTTTTACAGGCAACTGTATATAGTGCCGAGAGCATACTGAACATTTTAGAAGAAGAAGCCATGTAAACAAGTCAGTTCTAAGGGGCAACAAAGAAAAACCAAGGAAATCAAACGAACAAAACACACGGTTGACTTTGTTACTATAGGAGCAAATTTTCCATAAAAATGCAAGGCCACTTTTGGAATAATCCAGTGTATGACAAAATCAATCCAGCATGCACACGCACAATTGGGCTTTCAAAATATATATATATTGCCGTTTTTTTTCCAGGGTTTGTCAGCAACCCCTGAAAAAATAAATAAATAAATAAAATAAATAAAACTATTATAAGCTATATACATTTTAGCTTCTCACATCAGTGGACTAATTTAGAAATACGCCAAAGCCTTTTGATGTAATCAGTCTAAGAGCAGCAGATCATCCGGAACAGAGAGGAACTGTTCTGGGCTTCGTTTTCCAAAAGCATCGTAAGCTTAAATTGATCGTAGCTCAATTGGTTTCAACGGGTCTACGATGTACTTAAGCTTACGATGCTTTTGGAAAACGCAGTCCTGTTCTGTTCTTGATGTAGACTTACCAGCCAACACGGACGGCAGCAGAAACACCGATGGGACAAAAAGAACAAAATCCAAAACTGAAAGAAAAAATACATGTGCATGTATGAAACACATACAGAATACATTCTTTCGGTGGCGTAAGACCCCATGAACCAGGGGTCTTGTGTAGCTTAAAAACCACAAGTTATCTTATTATAATGAGGACCGTTGAGATTTAGGAAAAGTTTCGTCACGTGGCAGTACAAGGAGCGAAGCGAACCTTGACACTGTAGGTCTTGGAACAGATAGTCAAGACAATTATGTCAGCAAGAAGTCAGTCAATAAAGCCAAAAAAGGACTAGCAGGGATATTATTAAAATACAGAACCAGCACCTGTACTTTATTGAAAATGATGAACATTCATAGTGTTGAAGCACCTCTCCCGGTGTTATGCTCATGCAGACTCTACACAAACGCATTGGTCCAATGTGTCTGCTAAATGATTTCCTCTAACCGCAGGATACTGCAGGAAGCAGCTTTCAAAAACCCTTCTGCGCGTCACAGGAACACAGTTCATTATCTGCTGGTGTTGGGGCAGACCTCATCAATTTTTCAGCTGCTAGACGGAGGTTAAAGGACAAACTGAGGCGTGTGGAAGCAGCACACGAGCAGATCATCACCTTAACCTCTCGCAGCGTCTAAATGAGCTGTGTTTTGGTTTACTGTGCGGATCATACACACGTTCAGAGACATTCCACACGAAAACAACAGTTTACAGCAAAGTCCTTGTATCACAATGAAAAAAAAAACACAAAAAAATCTGTTTGAACATAAATCAAGAAGGAACTAAAGAATGACTAAGCACTAATATAGTGCATAACACATCAGTCTTTTCTTGTTCTCTGTTAAAAAGTCACTTTCAGATCGCCTTAAAGCGATAGTTCACGCAAAAATGAAAATTCTGTCATTTAATCACCCTCAAGTTGCTGCAAACCTGTACGACTTTTCATTTTATCTGTGGAACATACAAGGATACATTTTAATAACGTACTAGTTGTTCTTGTCAATGCAATTATGAACAGCGACTGGAGCATTCAAGCATAAAAAAGGATGCAAAAGCATAATGAAAGTATTATAATTATGGAATAATATAAGTACAATTTATACATACACCTTCTGCATTATATTTCAAACCTTATTATTCATACAATAACTTTGCGAGACAATCAAACTTCAATTTAAGTAATTTTTTCACTACAAATCTTGACAGTTATTTTGAGTCATCTGATGGATTCAGTTCACAAAGCTGTTCTGAATGACTTATTCACTAATTGGACTCAATGATCGTGTTGTCCGGTCGTGATCCAGTCATACAGGTTTGAGGGTGAGTAAATGATGACACACTTTTCATTTTTGGGTGAACTAGGCTTTTAATGCGACTGAGGCTACAATAGATTCGGCACAACTTTTATTTCCTCTTTTTTTTCTGATGTAAGAAAAATCACGGCAAGAAAATGTCAAAGTTCTCCATCTGGTCCATGGAATGTCAGCTGTGTCTCGTACCCTTTTTAAATGTCACGGTTTTCACGACGACGTCCACCGATCCAAAACCTTTGTCCTTGCTGTTGTGCACACAACGTTTTGTACACGCTGCAGATTTCAAGATCGAATTGTTCTTTGATGTCTATCTGTTACTCCTTGTGTCTTTTTCTTTTTTCCAAAATCCAAAGTGTGCCTTGGAGAGATGAACATATTAAAATGTTGCACGTAGTCCAGCTTGTGCTTTGAATGTACATATAAATGTCACAGAGAGCTTGATCACATGTCCACATCCCCGTCATAAGCCAGAGTCAAGGGCTTCTGTGGTGGAGATGCACTTTTACTCTGTTTGGACGGTTTGCTGGCATAAAGAGAAGGAGAAAAAAGAGAGATCAATAACATTTAAGATATCAACTGCTCCCATCTATTGTATTTCTACACTGTACCACTAGATGGAAGCAACAAGTTATTATAAATCAGACTAAAGGTTACAAATCGACAAATAGTCAATAGGTGAAGTGCAATTTCTCTCATCAAGCAAAATCACAGAAACATAATGACTATTTTCAAACAGGTATTGTCTTTCCATTCAATGGTGAGTGTGTTAAAATTTGATAGCATACAGTACATACCACAACAGAAAGGCCACAGCGATTATGAACAATATGAGAATGAATCCTCCAGCTGTTAACCCATAGACCCACAGCTTTATTCTTCCATCTGTGTGATCAGAA